AATCTGACCCCGATTGAAATTTCGAATGTCATTTAATGCAAAACGAAAAATCATTTTTGTATAGCTTTAATAATTTATGTACTGTTGAATTTTAAAACTTAAAGCGAAATTTTTTTGATCGAATTCGATAAAAATTTTTTATATACCAATTCTGCAAATTGATTGGCCGTTTCCGACCCATTTATCATGTGATTTTTTCATATATGTTGACAATAAGTCAACAATTCGAAAAACGGAACTAAGCGCCGAACACACATCCTAAATACTGTTGTGTCAGAGCACGTGACCCTGCTAACGATCGGTCCCAAGCCACCTGATAATTGTCACGGCCTAACATAGAAATATGTTACTTTCACTCCTAACCAACTCTATCCTAGAAAGCCCAAGTGCGAAGTCCAAATTTCTGCAAATAGAAAAATCCTCAGCGCCAACAAGTCTAGCTTCCCCTGCTACTATGAATACAAGCCCAAACGCCGATTTGCTTGATGCGAACACAAAGGCGAACATCGATACCGCATGTCAAGCTCCTCAAACGCCATCATAAGTACTATTAAGGAATATATTGACCAAACAATGTCTGCTCACATGGACCTTATTAATAAGATCAACAAACGTATAGAAGCATCCTTGAACCAGCAAAAACAGAGTCCACAACTTGCCCACACTAACCAGAGCCCGCAAGACAATGTTGCAGCACATAATCATACGTACAATATGACCAACCCCAACAAGAAGACAGGCCTAATAATAATAATGACTTTGGTCAGCAAGGTAACTGTCCACTAACCCCTATACTTAATAACCTCTTGATCAACATCAATGACCCCAGCCAGCAAAATGGAAAAGACACAATGTCCATAACAAAATCCCATGTTAATAAAGCAATAAAAATCAGAAGCATGACCCAGAAGTACCCTTTTCTTAAATATATAGTGGACCTACCACCGTTTTATGGTTTTAACAACCCCCTAGCAGCAGCATAGCGGGCTTTCATTGTAATTGGCTGAGGTCATTGATGTTGATCAAGAGGTTATTAAGTAT